AAGCTACTACACTGTGAATCTTGGGCTTTTGGAATATATTGCCTTTGCTGCAAAGGACAAACTGTGTGTAGGTGGCCAGTAGACAGCATTTTGAAAACTAAACTTCATTAGGCCTTTTATCTTCAAAATAAGGAAATAACAGACAATTTCAAATTTAAAATACCTAATACTGTCATCTAATAGGAAATAATTCTAAACTAGCAGAATGTAAAGAGTTTGAGCATTCAGATTTGAGTCAGAAAGTGACCAGATTTTCTAATCTGTGATTCATGAGTAGGGTTTAGTGTGCTATTTCTCTATTAATAAAATTATAAAAAAAATAAACTAATAGTTTACTACTGATTAATACTGTAGAATTATTATTATCCAATTACTGAATTATTTAAAATATATTTTGTACCTTTTTTTCTATATACATACATCTATATGTACGTTTCAGATTATCCACAGGTCAGAAATAATACTGTATGCATGGGCATTATTTTACTTTCTAATCTTTCTTACACCTGTTTTACTACAAAACTTCACTACCGTGAGAAGAGATTCATTCTTAAAGGAGAAGTTCATGGACTATATAAGGAATTTGCATTACAGAGATATCAACAGACATCATAAATTGGAATTTTCCTATAAAAATTAGGTACTAAAACCCCCTGAATCATTAAGTGGATCGAATAATGAACTGTATACTTGTTTCCAAGTGAGCTGGCAAAGGCCAGCACAGTGCAAATTATATACTTCTTACAGAATTCCTATGCAACTAATAGGATGAAAGCATGACTGCAGATCTCACACCTTAGCAGGGATTTTGGGTTCAGTTTGCCCACACTGGCTTGAAGCTAGACAGAACAGATAGAAGCTGGTTCCTGAAAAGAGTGTACTCTGGAGAAAAAAAAAAAATAAACAGATAATATAGTGCAAGTAGATTAGTTTGTGTGAGAAGCACTCTTTTCCTTGGAGAAGAAGTGAAAGGAGAATACATCTTTCCCATGAGAATAGGGATAGTAAAGGGAAAACATCTCACACATTTTACCCTTTCTGAAGGGTCAGGAAGAATTGTACTTTTCCAACTCTTTACTGGGCCTTTGAGGAATAAAAGAGAAAATAACGCTGCCACCAATCAGCAAAGTGGTGAAAGAAAAGACAGGATGGTGAACAATTCTAAGTGACTGAATCCTTGGCTTGTCTTCTTGATTAGTATTTTTTCTAAGTATAGAATTTTCTACTCTTGTTATCACATTTCTCTGGCTTCAGGCTGCACCATCCCTGACATACAATATGACCACTTAGATGTGAAAATGTTTGGAAAAAAGACTGTTAAAGAAAGGAATTGCAGAAATGGAGGGCCGTGTTGTCAAAAAATGAAAGTTAATAAAAGCTAGCAATAACTAAAAGTATTATGAGGTTTATATGGTGAATTCCAAATAAAAATTTCTGAACAGGCATGGTCTCTACATATTTTTCATTGCCTCACTATTATTTACATGACATACTTTTGCACAAGAAAGCAGTGATGTCCACAACATTTCACTCTCTTTCTGTGGTGATGTCAGAGGCAACCAGAATGATCAATCCTACTTTTTTGAGATTCTGGAAATGTTCTACTGAACAATATATTCAGGGACATTGACTTAGATAATCACCATCATCATCATCATGGCTAGGCTTCGCGAACGAAGATTTGGGAAGGCTCTATCCACATTTGCTGCAGGCACGCTGGTGGCTTATGAGGCCAATACGGGACAGACAAATCCGATTGCAAAAGGCACAGCAGAAAGACTCCTTAGATGGTGTATTCTGCAATACACGGTTCTTTCTGCGTTGCCTTTTTTCCTCGAGGGTGATCCTGCGTGTGTTCTCAAAGGAGACAGCTGCGTTATAGATGGTGTGTCTCCAGGCCTCCCGATTTGAGGCCAGAGTAGACCAGTTATGGTGATCAATATGGCCAAGGCTGAGATGTTGTTTCAGGGAGTCCTTGTATCTTTTCTTCGGGGCTCCTCTCAAGCGGCAGCCAGTGGCAAGTTCACCGTAAAGCAAGATCTTAGGAAGGCGGTGGTCCTTCATCCTGGAGACGTGCCCTGCCCAACGCAGCTGTGTTCTCATCAGCATGGCCTCGATACTTGTGATAGCTGCTTGCTCTAGAACAGATGTATTGGTCACATAGTCTGACCAGTGGATGTTTAGAATTGTACGGAGGCAGCGTTGATGGAAGCGTTCTAAGAGACGCAGGTGGTGGCGGTAGATGACCCATGATTCAGATCCATATAAGAGAGTAGACAACACTATGGCTTTGTAAACACTGATCTTGGTGCTTTTCTTCAAGTGTTTATTACGCCATACTCTTTTATGGAGTTTTCCAAAAGCACTCTATGCCTTTGCTAATCTGTTGTCTATCTCTCCGTCAATCTTACCATCTGAGGAGATGAGGCTACCGAGGTAATTAAACTGTTGGACTGATTTGAGCTCTGATTGACCAATGGTGATGTGGGGATGATGGGGGACATCCTGAGGTGCAGGCTGATGGAGGACCTCTGTCTTCTTTAAGCTGACCTCCAGACCAAAGAGCTCAGCAGCATCTGCAAAGCAGGATGTTAAACGCTGCAGAGCTGCTTCTGTGTGGGCAACAAGGGCGGCGTCATCAGCATAAAGCAGCTCCCGGACAAGATGGTTTAAGGTCTTAGTGTGGGCCTTCAGTCGCCTTAGATTGAATAGACTTCCATCAGTACGGTGTCGAATGTAGATACCGTCCTGATCATCGAGGTCTGCTGTGGCCCTTTGGAGCATCATGCTAAAGAAGACGGTGAATAGGGTAGGAGCGAGAACGCAGCCTTGTTTCACACCATTCTTAATTAAAAAGGGCTCAGAAAGTGTGTTGCCATATCTGACTTGGCCATGCTGATCCTCATGGAGTGAGATGATCATTTTGAGGAATTTAGGGGGACAACCTAAACGTTCCAAAATCTGCCACAGACCTTTTCTGCTCACAGTGTCAAAAGCCTTGGTGAGGTCGACAAAGGTTACATAGAGACCTTTGTTCTGTTCCCTACACTTCTCTTGCAGTTGTCTGAGGACAAATACCATGTCTGTGGTGCTCCTGTTGGCTCTGAAACCACACTGACTTTCAGGAAGGATACCTTCTGCTATAGTGGGTATTAGTCTGTTCAAGAGTATTCTTGCCAGGATTTTGCCAGCAATGGAGAGCAGAGTAATACCACGATAGTTTGAGCAGTCAGATTTAATTCCTTTCTTCTTATACAAGGTGATGATGACTGCATCACGAAGGTCAGATGGTAGTTCGCCGAGTTCCCAACAGCGCACCACGAACTCATGGAATTTGGTGTGGAGTGCAGGGCCCCCATGTTTCCAGATTTCAGGTGGAATTCCATCAATCCCAGCTGCCTTGCCGATTTTCACCTGCTGTATGGCCTTGAGGGTTTCTCCTAAAGTGGGGGCAGTATCCAATTCATACTTTACTGGTTGTTGTGTGATGGACTGAATTGCTGAGTCTTGGACTGTGCGGTTGGTACTGAATAGAGTCTGAAAGTGTTCAGACCATCGATTCAGAATGGAGGTTTTATCTGTCAGAAGTGTTTGACCATCAGCGCTGAGTAGAGGGCTTTGTACCTGGTATGTAGGCCCGTATGCTGTTTTCAAGGCCTCATAGAAACCTCTGTGATCACCTGTATCTGCGCATAATTGAGTTTTTTCAGCTAGATCAATCCACCATTTGTTCTGGATGTCACGGAGTTTCTGTTGGAGCTTGCTGCATGCAAGACGAAAGGCTGTTTTTCTTGCGTGAAATAATGGGAGTAGATATACAGCTCTCAGTATAACAATTTGTTAAATCATTCCGATATATAATTTGAAAATGTTAAATATTTTATAGGTAGAGATTTTAATTAGAGAAGGTACAGAGTTTAAGTGTGTTTGCTTAGGCTTTCTGAATTTGTCACATCTGCAAAACATTGAAAAGCATTTTCTGAGGTTATTGAAAACTCCTAGGCTGCATTAGAATAAACTTTTATCAGTGTAGACTGATATTATTCATCTGTGGATGAAACATATGAGAAATATAACAGCAAAAAATACAAAATACAGACATAAATATGAAATACAAATAAAATACTAAATGATAAAGATCACTGTGAATTTTTATTAAAAGCAAAAAGCTTCATTCTGAATTTAGGTGAAGGTTGGACTTGGCTCCTTTAAAGAAATCCATCTGCTCATACATAGTCTTACTTACAACAGATGATTCCCAGCACTATGGAACTTTATTCCATGGGGACCTCAGAAAACCTAAGCTTAGATTTTAAAAAGCTATGTCCTTGCTATATCTAGCAGAGCTGAAGGTCACTCTGAAAGAAGTGTAGCTCACACAGAGCAAGACTGGTCTGAAAACCTAGACAATATGAGGAGAATGAAAAGGAGTAGGACCGAGGCTTCAGAACTGTACTATGGTTGCAAACCAAAAGTCCTAATGTAGACATAACCAAAGGCCACCATCTGTAGTTTCTGGCATGTGCTGAAGTTTTGATTCACAAGAAAACTCGTATGAAAAAGAGAGGATAACCTTTCTTCACACAAGTAGAGTTCATGAGATGTGTACAATGGCTTTCATATAGTTCTATCAGCATCCCCCAGTGCCCATATTCAGAGCATTGTTCATAGCTACAGGAAATTAAGAGCTCAAAACACAGTTGATGTTGCATGACATGAATGGTGTGCATTGTGTCTAGATTTCAGGAGGAAGAGACAACTTTTTTTTGAAAATATTATAAGATTCTTTCCTCATAAAATTGTGGACTCGTGGAAGTCCTAGATATCTCAGTTAAGGTCTCCACGTCCAACAGGAAAAATAACCTAGTTTACGTTCTGAAATTCTTGACATCTAAGAAAAAAGTGTCTTCTCGTGCCTACCTGAGGAAAAGGGTCTATGCTTTCACACTCTTTCATAATAAGTCTGACAGAAGGGAATGAAAAAGGTTTTGTTTGCTTACTGCGCTCATGAGAGAGTCCAGCACACTGACAGCAAACGCGGTTCCACATGCAAAGGGCTGCGTGAGATACAGTTCTGTGTCTGGATCATCATCATCATCTTGGTCCAAGAACTGAACATTTGAATCATTTACTGAAAATAATAATAAGAAGAACAGTAAAATCATAAGGTGCCTCTGGGTCACCAGCATGCGACCTCACACATTACACAGTCAAAGAAAAAGAAACGGCATGTGTCTGGAAACACAGACTTGTGTCTTTGACGTCACTGAAAATGAAATCAAGATGGATGTGAAAAACGTGCATTTAAAAATCTGTTGCTTGTAAGAGGTGACACTCTTGTTCTTGAGAGGTGACTATCCCTTTGCTGTAAAAGTAGCTTTGTGGCACCAGCTGCCTGCACTTAAAATGAGATACATGACGCACTTATTTATTGAGACAACCTTGGTATTGGTCGGGTACAGTGGCTAAGGCTGTATGCATGGATAGTGAAATGTTATCACAAGATACAAAGTTAGAACCCTGTTGTAAAATAAAGGCTGTCAATAAAACTCTGATATAGCCCACAGGCATCTGTTAGATGTGCTGCTGTGATTCTTACTGAAATGATGTTAATGCACTTATGGCTCAAAACAGGATAGACTGTCCCTTTAACATGCATCTATCTGAATGAATGAGCAGCTATTCTCTTGCAGTACTGCCTTTTGTTCAAATATTTGTCTCCGTTACTTCACTTTCTCAGCCACAAATTCTATATTAACCAGTGTGAAAAAGAATCTACATGAGGCTGTTTTAAAGAAAAAGCCTGAATAAAGTAGTATTTGTCATTTAGACTTTCTCTGGCATTTCATTGTCACAGTTAAGCCCTCTGCCTCCATCTCATTCCAAATAAAAATAGTTGTTTCCTTGAGATCAGTGTATCAAGTGGATCATATTTCATGAAATATTTCATTTCCATATTAATCTCCCTCAGGCATGAAAGCACAGACTGCTTAGCTACGCCATCGGAATACCCTTCAACTTACTAAACAACAAATTAATTTCAGTTCCCATGCAAAAAAGGGAAATTAAAAACTTTTTGAGCATTTGAAACTGCATATACTGACTATGTCTCTATTCCCTGTGTGAACATGTCTCCTGAGCCAACCCAGTGAACTCTGAAGACAGAATGAGAGCTGCTGTTAACTTTATCAGATTTCAGCTCTGACCTTCTTAAGCTAGAAATTCTTCTGCCTGCTACTCTGATCTTCCTTCTCATAGAGTTTAGCTACCTCCCATATAGTTTTCTTTTCCATCCACTCCTTTTCCAGACTATATTCTACTGTCCTTGCCATGCTTAGCTTACAAAACATAAATTACTACTGATAAAGCCTCATGATAGCTGTCTAAAGGAGATGAGACTATGATTTAAAATTCCTGCCTTCCCACTCCCTGATGTAACTGCAAATACATAACACCTCACCATTGTAATCAGAGAAAATCAGAGTCAGAAGAATTTCATCCAAGAAAACACCAATATCCACGATACTTCTTTCTTTAGTACAATACCTATCAATTTATTCTCCAGATTCTTGAGCAACATAGTATTTGAAAGCCTGCTGTATCATTTCAAAATGTACTTTTCGAAAAGCTTGTACCTTAGTTTAATTTGCTAGTTGAGACTAGGCACTATTGACAGTACCATTCTTTTTCCACTTACATCTGGCAGACTAATACCTGTCTTAGACACCAGCTTGCTAGACACGCATGGTGTCAGTTCCCAGGATGCTACAAATCTAATGTGAATTCTGCAGGTGTGTTATCTTCAATATCTTTATCTTCCTAATGCAAGTTAGCATGCTAGTATTTCTATGAATGGTCTCTAGGTCAGGTGAGGTGGGCTTGAATGTGTTGTGCTGCGCCATAGGGAAAGCTCATCAAACGCTGCTCGCAAAGGCTGGTGAGAGCTCTGTGTCAGGAGGGAACAATGCAGAAACTTGACTGCTTCTCTACAGCTTCAAAACCTGAGCTTCTGGGAAAAAGCCTATTCCCTAAAATAAACAAACAAATAGCTTAAGGGAAAGTATGATGCTGGGGGGTTTTTCCTGGTATCTTTTAGTTCTTCTTGGACTTCCTGTGAAAACTGTTAAGGCATGTCCACCAAACTGACAACAGGCTGAACTAACAAAAAAGAAAGAGAGAGAGAAAAGGAGAGAAAAACTGGGGGGAGATGGGGGGGGGGCACTGGGAGGTGGGGACTCAGGCCAAAGAAAATGAATTGGTGAGGAGGTGCTATGAAAACAGCCGGCAGGTCAGACGAGTGTGATCAAAGGTTTACTGATGCTGCGTGAAAAAAAAAATCATTAAGAAAGACCAGAACGAGACAGTCAATTTCAACTAGAACCACAAATAAAACACATTCAAAGCAGTGCCATGAGGGTAGCCCCTCTGATACAGCCAGATAAATAAAGGGAAAGCTGATGACAGTAAGAACAACAACAACAGAAAATAAGACAGTGATGTGAAGGAAAAAGGCACTTCTTACCCAGTTCAGTTATCATAAGAATGTGGGTTCCACTGTTTTTTTCCTGACTGATTGAAACCAAAGGCAGAAGTTTGCCAGGCTTAGCTAGTAAGTAAAGTATTTAGGGGGAAAAGAAAGTACAGAAAGAGAATAAAGTAAGGGAAAAAGACAGATAAGGCTCTAAAAAATAAAACTGAAAAAGAAAATAGAGGACAAAGGACCACAGATCAAGTTTGTATTTGCCATGAAAAAAACAGAACAGCTTCTGCACTTCACATCACACCACTTGACAACATAAATACCCACAGCTAGAGTGGAAATCAGAGTCTAGTTACCTACCATCATCGTATTCTCAGGAGTAAAATATCTCATACTATTATACAGAGTTTGGTTACACATGATTAAACAGTTTTGGACCATGAAGAAATAAACAAATGGCCTCTTACAATTGATTAAATGCACAGGAAATATCTGCTCATACTTACTGTGGCTTTCTTCCTTTTCTAACCTTAGCCCAAAGACCTCTGCTTATTTGCTACGCTATGCAAAAAGCATCTTGCCTGATAGAATATTTATTTAAGAAAATGGAGAAAACCCAAAGGGAGGAGAGAAATATATTTCAGTTATTCAACTAAAGTGAACCAACTGTTACTAAACTTTCTTTAGAGAGAGTAATTCAAAACAGTTATCAAAAGAGAAAACATAACAGTGTAAGACACAGTATGGGTAATTTTTCTGTGACTGCATAACAAGGGAAGTGGGAAAAAGATACGGGAATGTACATGAAAGGATAAATGTTAGCTTTCCTTACCTAGCTCTGTAATAATAGGGATGTTGGTTCCTGTTGTAATGGAGGGTTGACGTAACAGGCCATGGACTGGACTGTTGTCTGGAGATGACCTATCCATTCCAGGGGGTGTAAAGCCTAAAAGAAAAAAGGAGAAAAAAAAAAAGAGAAAATTTACAGAGGACAAACTATGGGGAATTCCCTATCTCTGATTTTATTATTTTCCAGGAAAGTATGGTAAAAAAGTGTAATTTAAAAAAAAAATGACTTAATTTTCAACAATTATTTCATAAAAGCATAATCCTTCACAAATATGCAGTTTATTTCTACTGTAAGATATTTGAGAGCTAATGGAGAAACTGAAATTCATTTTGTTATCCTAAGCCTTTGCATCAAAAGGTGTAAAACGGAAAGAGTAATGCTTACTTAAACAAAAATAAAAAAGATCACAGTGTTTGAGAGGTTTAATTTTGTTTTATCAGTATTTCAATAATCCTGAAATAAACACCTTTCCTTAAACAACAATTAACATTTTAAAGAGTACTGTTTGTAAATGGTAGTAAAACCATGAGGAACAAATTGCTTCCATTAGCTGGTTTTAGGTTTGATCAACAAGCAGGGTTTACCTGTTTTCCAGGAGCAATACAACCCACACATGGTGTTTTGTTTGTTTGCCTGTTTTTTTAATTTTCATGCATACCATTTATAATATGCATTTCTATGAGGATTACTGTTTTAGGAGTACTGCGATGGAAGGGTTCATTCTAACAGACAAAAAGATAGGATGGAAGGAAAAAGACACAGGTTTTCAAACAGTATCTAAGAGGAATCCTTCAAAAGAAACTAGAAAGAGTGAAGATGTAAAGGAAACAAAGGTGGGAGAGGAATCATATTGGCAGGCACTCACAGAAAAAAGAGATCTGGAGACCAGCAAGGTTCACCTCCAAAAGACATTATGTTTTCAGTCTGATTCTCTACACACTTTGAAAGGGAGCCCTTGACATCGAGCATTTTTTTGTCCTTTTTTTTTTTTCTTCTTTTTTAATTTTTCTTTAAACAAAAAATACCCAGGAAAAGCCTTTCGGAGTTTGATTGTAAATACTGAAAAACAGGTAGTTATACAAAAGCCCATGCAATAGAAGGATGGAAATTCACTGTTGAGACTAAAGCATTCTACCTCCCTTGTCCATTAAAGCTGCAGAAAGCATGGGAATGTTCATTTAATGTCATTATTGCAGAAGTAATGGTGAAGCTAGAGGTTGACTTTAGGGTTTAATGTAGAAAAATGTTAAGGCAGCATTTTTAGGCAAATATTTGTAAGCCAGAAATAGGATTGACCCAAGCTCACTTTAAAACACACATTTCTGAGAAGACATTAAATTTTTTTGCCACATTATTCCTAAGTTCTTTGACTTCACACCTGACATCAAGGGACAGACTTTTGGTCCTCTGTCAATAAATCTGAATTCTCCATATACTGATTCTAAATTAATCAAAGCCAAATTAATTCCTGACATAACTTCATTATCTTCTTGCAGTGTGGAAACTGTTTCACACCATTAAATTCATTGATACATTCGTTCATCTGTTACTGAATTCAGAAGAATGTGATATTATGTAGTTTACCTTGCCTTAGTTTGGGGACCAATTTACAAACCAGGAAATTTCTAAATTAAATTGTAATTGTTAACACATTGTACTGGTTTTATATTTTCTGAAGGATTTATGGTTCTTTTCCAGTGATAAGTACCATCACTCTTAACCTGTCCATAAACTACAAGGACCACTAGATCCGGACTTCTTGGTTTAATGGGATTTAAATTTCTCTTTTCATTCATCTGTCCCTATATTTTGTCTGTATCACATATAGAATATACAGGCAATAGTTACTGAGGAGAGACTTTCTTAGCCCTCTAGAAGGTACTGGTGCGAATTTCATTCTATCACAAGAAAACTAGATGCAACATGATTGTACAGACAGGATAACTAAGACGAGAGTGAAAAGTCTGTGAAGAAATTCCTTAGGAGAAAAGAAGTGGATGTGGTTTGCAAGACTAAAACATTGCCATAGACAAACCTAAGTCAGTAAAACAATTCTATTTAATATTACCAGTGCATGGAAAATCTTTAGAAAGCAGATTTCTGCAAGAGAATCGGAAGTGTAACAGTCAGTCATTTAATATTGTTCCTTGTGCTGAAACTAATTCAGTAAGACCAACATGATGACAGTGAGTTGCATTTCAAACTGGTATTGGTTTGCAGATGTTTCCTTGTATCTGGCACTATGACTGATAGCTGTCTTGGCTCTTTGAACATTTACTTTTGCATGGCAGAGCTTGAGATTCCTCAGGCTCACAAAGTGAGTCTAACAGAGGTAATTCAGGCACCACCTCATAAGTTACAGGTGATGCTGACATTCTCTCAACAGCAGGAAAATGAAAGCGGGACTTCAAATGCTATCTGAGGACAGGTGGGTATTAATGTGACACCTCCTTCTGCAGCAGGATCTAGTGTTTTAAGTCTTGCACTCTGTTATGGAATGCATTCTGTTAGGAGATGCAAGATACGGCCTTTGTCACAGTATAATAGAAAAAGCTCATCCAGACTCCTTGAGCAGTTATGGTGGCAGGCAGTTGGGTTCTCTGCAGAATTACAGGTTAAAATGGCAACAGCAAGATTTTTTTACACTCAGTTATCTAAGAGCAAAGAAAACTAATACTGTTCTCATGCACCCTAGGGATTGTACTGCTTGGAGCATCCCTAGAGGCTCTGCTTCTCCTTTTTTCCTGAAGGCTTTCCTCTGCCCATCTCAGGATGCGCTCCCTAAAACATTTTTTAGAGAATCAGGCTCTTCAGATGGTAGGAGCACATCAGCATTTCCCTACCAGCTAAAAGCAAATTGAAGTAAGTTAGCATAACTGCATCTAAACATGCAAGTTCTTCTTGTGTTCCCTCCACTGCAATGTGCACACACATAGAGGCACGGACACGCACACTCTCCATCGAAGGTTGTTTGTAGCCACCTCTCTAACCTTTCAAATATTTGCCTTCCTAGGACGGTGTCAAAAGATTGAAGTAAATGCAGCATTTCTGTTAGACAGCGACTGTCAGAAGCTCTGTAATTGCACACTGCACACATAGTGCATTTGGTCTGAAATGCAGGAAGCATGTTAAGGGGAATTTGTTTTCACCTTGAATGTAAAACTAGACTCATGCCTTGATATTTTTCATCCTATGGTCTTGAAAGAGGTGAGAAATGTCTGTTAATTTAATTTCCTTGCTCGTACTTAATTCAGACACTTCTAGAAATTTACTTTTAAAAAATTTTGGAATATTTTAAGGAAAAGGAAAACTGAAGTATTTGTGTATTTTGCGTGCCTGTGTTTGGAGTCACATGGTGTCGTACACCTTCAGGCCACATTCCTGCTCCCAAGTCACAAAGTAAATTCTATACATAGGTTGTCTATTTTTTTCCTCCAGAAAAGAGAACCAAAAAAAAAAAAAAGTGCAGGAAAACTAACCTGCTTTATCAGAACTTTCATTTAAAGGCATGAAAAACTACAAGTGACAGCTGTGCAGATTCAGTGAATGTGACATTTTTGAATTTCTTCAACTTGACAAGTAAACACCTTAAATCGGTAATGCTATATGCATAATACATGACCTGTATTTTGACATCCATCATCGAATGCTGACTTGAGAAAATACAGGTTTGTACGTCAAGGAATAGCACCCATAAAGCAGGGAGAAATTCAGGTCACAGGGTATTAGGAAAACTCTATTTCATTACAGAAGCTGAAACAAGCTAAGGCATCAGATTTAAGATCCATTTTCAGTTGCGAAAAGATTAAATTCCTCTGCACAGAGCATTCATTTAGAAATGACATGCTTTCCTCACAACCTCTTTTCATTTTCCTTTTCATATTCCATTTTCTCCTTCAGTCCACAAACCTTGTTCCATTAATGCTCATAAAAATCATAAAACAGGGCTGATAGTTGTGATCTTACAACCGCAGTGTCTCCTTGTTCAACAAACAACTGAGGGAGCTGTGGCTACAATTGCTTAAAAGGATCAACCTCTACAGTAAAATTCACATGGCCTGTACAAGTCTGAGCACAGCCTCTGTGGAAGGAAATACAGTGACAGTGGGGGACTTCTGGAGAAGGGAATTCTCTTTGCCAACAACGAGGAGGTCAGGTACCGTAAAATCATATCAGTTCCAGCAGCCACTGCATCCGGTACTGAATTGCTATACTCAGTGGGTGATTGACTTGCATCCCTTGGTTTTTGATTTTTTGCTGTTTGTTTTGTGGTTTGTTTTTGTTTTCCTCATTTATTAAACTGGCTTTACCTCAGCTCATGAGTTTTTTTCTCATTGTGGGGAAGTGAGCCAGACTGGCTTAGTTATCAGTCAGGGTCAACCCACCACCATCCGCTATAGGGATGACCACCACAACAGTCATAGAATCATTTAGGTTGGAAATGACCTTTAAAATAATTCACTCCAACCATTAACCTAGTACTGCCAAGTCCACCACTAAACCATGTCACTAAATGTCACATCTAGACATCTTCTAAACACCTCCAGGGATGGTGATTCTGACACTTCCCTGGCCAGTTTGCTCCAATGCTTGACAACTCTTTCAGTGAAGAAATTTTCCCTAATATCCAACTGAAGCTCCCCTTGGCGCAACTTGGGGCCATTTTCTCTTGTCCTTTCATTTGTTATCAGGTACACAAGACCAACCCTCACCTCACTACAACTTCTGTCAGGTAGCTGGAGAGAGCAATAAGGTCTCCTTTATCAAACTGAGGGAACTTCAACAGAAGGCAGCACACTCCTGAAACAAGATGATGCCAGACAATGAACTATATATATCACGTCTCTGAAAGGAACACAGGTTCTGGGCTTTGACATGCTCAAAATCAGTGAGGCCTGGCAGTCAGCAGTCCCTGCGTACCCCCTGGCAGCAGCCCCCCTCTTTGAGAGGCAGGGACTCCCATTCCCTAACTCAGCTACCTTGCCTGAAGGAGTTTGAGCCTGCTACAATTCTCTGCAGAAAGCTGCTGGTTCAATGTCTTGATTCTGTGCAAAAAGTATTCCCCAGCTCCCTCTAAGATACTACTGCTCACAGAA